TGTATAATATTATTAAATATCCATAAGTAATAACGTTTAAATATGTGTATTAACTAATAGAACAATATTAAAAAAAAAGAAAATAATATATTATAGATAGAAAATAATGTACTCATAATTGGTTTATTATAACAGGTTTTTTTTGTTTTTTTTTTTATTGTTTTTCGTATTATTACTATTATTACTATTTTTTTATTTTAATGTTATGAAAATAAATTAAATAAATTTGTGTCGACGTAAAACAAATAGATCGTTGGAACATAATTTTATCTTTACACATATTTTAAACAAACTTCAACAAAACGTATTGTGAACACTTTTCATAAAAAAATAATAGTATTATTTGTTCGCAGCACTCAATTGGAGGATCATTTGGTCGAACGATCCTTATCTCTCTATGCGGCATAGTTTATGTAAAATTTTCTATAAGTTTTTACTGTACATTATAACAATGTTATTACAGTACCACCTATATATTGGTACCTATTTATTGAAAAGTATTGTTATCAGCCTTTGAAATCTAGAACAAACTCGATGTTTAGATGGATTATTCAGATAATAATATTGAAAAAATAACCCCACCACTATGCAGTTATTTTTATACTGAATAATTTTACTATAATTACATCGCTTCAATACGCAAAAATATTAGATACTAAACGGTTTTGTTATTTTCTTTTTTTTTTTAGCATCTGGTACTTTTTTAACTCCAATGGATGATTTTGAGAGACCTATCGGGAATCAGAAAAAAAAAAAACAATTTGAATATTGGGTTATATTATATTATTACATTATTTATTTCAAATTATCGAGCTTTGTGGGTGTATGTATTATAATATAACATACACCCACGGATTTTGATATATTATATACTTTCCAATGAAAATATATTCAACAGTACCGGTGAAAAACCATAATAAAACATGAAACTGACTATGACTGTCATAGTATGACGCTTTTGAGAAAACGGAATAGTTAATATTTACCTCGCACCATGCACGAGAAAAAGTGCCATTTTTGTGGGATTTTTGGATAGTTTCTCCTACGGTACAATGAGGTTTCATCATAATCGTTTTATTTCGACATCAAGGAATCCGTAATTTAGCTAATCACGGCATATTTCTTTACAATAATCACCTAATTTATAACAATATGCATATTTTTAACTGTAGGAACACCACGTACACACCACGAGCACGACCATTAAAAGGATAAACTGTTATAGTAGTATACTGTGTCACAATATTCGTAGTGTGTCCTTCGTTAACTATAAAGTAAACGATTAAGTGTCTGAAATGATTATCATAATTTTGGTACGACCGTTAATGATTAAGAATATCTTCTATAGTCTACACATAATTAAACTCCACGAAAAGCACAGTTGGGACCGGCTGGTCCAAAAATTCTATATCAGGTTAAAATTCCGCTATGATTTTTAATGTGGTCTTTTCAAATCACTGACGTGTTTTCAAATAGGTACCTACTTATTTGATAGTTATAATATACTAACCATAGTTGTATGACTGGGTATATACTAATTTAGCATAAATACTGTAGTGCGTTGAAAAAATATGGTGTTAATCATATTTTCTCGACTGCTCATGAATATGTTTAAAAATTATTCAGATTTTTCACCAAGAAATTTGATATAAAATGAGTGTACTTTCCAAAGTATTTTTATTAAATAATCTCTTGATTTAATTTTACGCATGAGAGGTGTGAAATTCGATTTTAAAATGGCTACTACTATTCTGTTTATATTGTATTACAAATTTTAACATAAAAACTATGGCGTTTGGTAATTACATTGTTATAATTGAAGGTTAAATGTTCTTGTATTTGCATATTTTTTCCTTTAATAATAAAAAGTTCAGAGTAGGATAGAAATTTATTTTGTGGTCTATAGAATATGAAAGTAAAATTGTTATGTTGTATATATTTGCATATTACAATCCATTTTTCTTTCATATCATATTTATATTTTATTAGTGCATAGTTATATTCGGTATCTTTAGATTTTATTGGATATTTAACATTGAATAATTGTCTATACAAATGATACAATAGATACGATTGAAATTATATCTTTATTATTTAATTTTATTAATAAAGATTAAATATACATTATTTTATTAATACATATTATACAACATAGGAAAACAGGCAATTCAGTTATATATAAATGGTCGAAATTTAATTTTTGATGGATAGCTACGGCCCAAATAAGAGCTATTCTCCAAATACATGTTTTTAGGCGACAAGAAACCATACCGGCTCACACCGAACGTCCACTTATTCTAAAACTTCTAAAATATTTCAAAAACAATGTTCATTCAGTGTAATCCACATTTAAGTAAGACAAAACACATTTTACATAAATTTAAAAAATTTATAATTGAAATAATTAATTCATTTTTTTAGATTAAATTAACAATAAAAGAAGACTATTTTTTTTTTTTAATTTTGTCATTAAAGCTGAGGCTGTCGTGTTAAAAATCCTCGTAGTGTTATATTACACAGCTTTTCCAACGAAAAAAATTTTAATATTTTTTCGCCTCCTGTACCTACTTATTGAACTACCTCACTCAAGAAAAAACCTGACATCCTTGATATTTTCGCCGCTAAGTTACCCAGCAACTTACATGACTGTACCAAAAACATCCTTAATTTAAACTCTGATCACTCCGCCTTTCTCCTAACTATTTAAGCCACGAAATTAGCATGTACTAAGCTACCTAAATTTTTCTCAACCCTTACGGATCATATCAAATTTAACGATATAGTAAATGAATACATTAACCTAAATATTAGATTAAAACATAATCTCGATATTGACGAAACTGTCAACAATTTTACAACTATAATTCAATCGGCAGCATGGACCGCCATCATACCTATTGAAACTGTTAACTCAAACAATATAATAAACTCAAATTTAAATTACCCTATAATTCCAAAAAAAATTCGTAGTTTAATTGTGGAAAACACAGAACAAGAGCAAGATACCATATATGTCGCCTTCCTTCACACAAATCCGCCTTTAACAAACTTTCTAATTCATTGAAAAAGATCCTTACAAAACATAAAGCCAATGCTATCGATCAAAAATTGCACAATCTATCTATTGCTGACTGTTTTCTTTGGAGAGAAATTAAGTAACTATTAAAATTTAAATCTCCCTTTACTCCTCTTAAAAAATTGGACAGTACATAAGCTATCAGTGACGTAGAAAAATCAGAAGTATTTCAAACATATTTATCAAATATTTTTCAACCTCATGCTGATATTCTAGAGCCTCAACACATAGATAGTGTTAGAATATATTTAGACTCTCTATTACCTAATGGACCTCCCGTAAAATACACCACAACAAACAAGGACAAAAATATAATTCAAAAACATTCGAATAAAAAATCTCCCGGTTTTGACCTAATAACAGTTGAGATTGCAAAATGTCTACCTAAAAAAGCAATAATCCTTTTGACTAATATATTTAATGCAATATTTCATCCATCATATTTCCCTTTAATGTGGAAATTATCACTCATTTTATGTTCTTAAAGCCAAGCAAACCCCCAGACTCTCCAGTCTCATATAGACTAACCTATAAGCCTCTTACCATTTTTCTCAAACATTTTTGAAAGACTTATTCTTCAATGACTATCTCCACATGTTATCTCAAATAATAATCTTTCATCTCAATTCGGATTTCGCGCTAAACACAACATAATTCATCGAGTACACCGCCTGGTTGATTGTATATCAATCTCGCTGGAACGTAAACAATATTTTTCCTGTGTTTTTTTTTTAGATATTTCACAGGCATTTGATCGAGTATGGCACGATGGCCTACTTTTTAAACTTTGCAATTTTCTTCCCCCTTCCTTGTTTCTCTTAACTAAATCCTACCTAATTGATCGCTATTTTCAAAATCACATTGGAACCTGTACCTCACAAATGGCTATAATCAATGCAGGTGTACCCCAAGGTGGTATTCTATCTCCTTTATTGTTTAACATCTATGACTCTAATCAACCCAGCATTGAAAACAACCTTGTTGCTGATTATGCTGATGACAAAGCTTTAATTTAAATTCATGAAAACCCCCTAATAGCCTCTGGTAATCTACAAATGCATCTTAATCTTATTTCAACATGGTGCACAAAATGGAGAATAAAACTGAATCACACTAAGTTACTTCATACCACTTTCACCTTGAAACATGGACTCTGTCCTCCAGTTTCATTGGATAACATACCTATACCCGCATCCGATACAGTAAAATATTTAAGCCTTATCATGGACAAAAGATTAACCTTGAATCCATACATCAAATCCAAAAGACTAATTTTAAACTCTCGTTCTCGTATGCTCAAAACCATGTTATCAAAAAATAAATGCACAAACATAAAAAATAAATTGCTAATTTACAAAACAATTTTAAAACCAATCTGGACTTACAGTCTTTAACTTTGGGGTACAGCCAAGAAATCGAATCTAAACAAAATCCAAACTTATCAGAATATCACTCTACATCAACTCACTAATCCTTCGCCATACATTCCAAATCTAACACTCCACAACGATTTACATGTTAAAACGATCGAAGAGGAATCTGTATTATTTAACAAGCGATTTTTCTCATTTCTGGCAAACCATAATAACCCATTAATCAGTAACTTAGGTAACTTAACACTTCCTGATAATCCTCGCCGTCGACTGAAAAGGAGATGGTTTAGAGATCTTTTACAATAAGTCACTCATACTCTCTCAGAAAAAAAAATTAAATAAATAAAAATAAAAAAATAAAAATATATATTACCTTTTCTTACCAAATCTCCTATCACGCAAAGAGTCACTGGTGAGTGACTTA